ACATGACTTGATTTTCATTTCTTTTCTATCCTAGGAGTAGATCTAATCTACACAGGAGTAGTTTAAACTTAGATAGTAGTAGTCTTAATATACTTTACTTGTATTTGATTGTTCATTCAATCATTTACATCATCATCATCTTCTTCTTTCTCTCTTTTGTCTTATTTGTTTTGTCATTTATTTTTACTCCAAGGAAGTCCTTGAAACTTTCAAGGCATAGAATCTCAACACAATTGCTTGATCATTGTGTTGTTTGTTAAGATTTTGGTTAAGGGTCTGTTGATCTAAGCCTAACAAAAATTTTACTAACAATTTTTGACACGTCCAATGGGACATCGTCGTAACTTGGAGGAAATGATACAAACAAAATATCAAGAAATTATACCTTCAAATGGCATGTTTACATCTTGTGCACCCATGGATGCAAACCACTAATGGAGTGGCAATAATTGGTATGAATTATTTTTGGATTGTCTCATCTTCTATGCATAATGATTCTACTGCCTGTTACTAACATAATGGCATGAAAAATGAAATGGAAAGAATGGTTTGGCATTGTGAGGATGGAATTTATTGGTACAATAGTGAAGTTTTGGCCTTACAAAAAACAATTAATTCTTTTGATTGGCAAAAATTCAAATAATTTCATCACCATCATATTATTTGATGCAAAAAGATATAAATTACTTTGATGAAAAAATTCATCAACTTAGTTGTCAAGTTTATCAAGTTGATGGAGAAATTCAACATTGGAGTAAAAAATTAGAGAATCTTTTAAAAAGCAAAAATTTTATGAGTTGTTAAGAGGCATTTCCAAGCAAAACTTTCTATCCACAAAAGCCATGGCCAAAGAAAAATTAAGTTCTGCAAATGGCATGCTTGGAGGCAATTTTTCAAGCCATTAATTGAAAAAGAAGACCAATTTCTTTTGCTAAAGGATATTGAGCATTTTATTGTTAACAATCCAATTGGGAGGTATGGTTTTAAGTCAAAAATGACAAAGAATGTTGAACAACCATCACAAAATGATGGTGAAAATTCAATTGGAATGTATGATTTTAAACCAAACATGGCTAAATTTGATGAACAACCATCACAAAATGCTGGTGAAAATCCAATTGGAGGGCATGATTTTAAGCCAAGCATAGCTAAATTTGATAAACAACCGTCACAAAATGATGGTGAAAATCCAATTAGGAGATATGATTTTAAGCCAAACATGATTGAAAATTATGAACAATCCATATTTGATGAATTTGAATTTTTAATATTGTTAATTTTGTCAAAAAATTTAATTTTCTAAAGTCAATTGACATTATGATTTCTGTCATCCAACAACCACAATGATTTTGTGGTACACATCAAAAATTAATTTTGATGAAATAGTTTACAAAAAGAAATTTTGAATTTTATTTCTATTTTTTATATAACAGTAATAGAGGAGTATTTCAATGTGGCCACAACAAAAAAAGAAATTTATATATATATATATATATGACCAATTGATTATAATTTTCATAGTTTCTATTATGTCTTTATGTTCATACAACTCTTCAAGAATTCGAGTGCTTTCATTCCTAAAGAGTTGGGGAGGGGGGACATTGTTTGCACCATAAATAAATTTTCCGTCGATTATGACTAAGTTTAAATTTTCTATTACTTCTTCTTTTTCTTCTTCTTATTATTCTTATGCAGGAAAATCTTATAGGTGAAAAAGAAGTTAGAACAAGTTTTGAAGATTCAAGGGATGGAAGACACATGGCATCGTAAGAAAGAAGGGGGAAGGTTTAGGAAGTCAAAAGTAGTTATTTAGGTGATGGTTAATAGAAGTTTTTCCTTCATTTCCCCCCCTATAAATTACCATTACTGGCTCTACTGTAATGGACCAACAAATCAATATATGACTTGATTTTCATTTCTTTTCTATCCTAGGAGTAGATCTAATCTATATAAGAGTAGTTTAAACTTATATAGAAGTAGTCTTTTAATATACTTTACTTGTATTGGATTGTTCATTCAATCATTTACATCATCATCTTCTGCTTCTTTCTCTCTTTTTTCTTATTTGTTTTGTCATTATTTTTACTCCAAGGAAGTCCTGAAACTTTCAAGGTATAGAACCTCAACACAATTGTTTGATCATTGTATTGTTTGGTGAGATTTTGATTAAGGCTTTATCGACCTAAGCCTAACAAAAATTTTACTAACACACTATCTAGCATATAAATACAACAATATGATAAGGCAATTGTTATGGGGCATAATAACTTGACAAATGTGAGCATAAATTTGAGCTCAACCATAAAAGAAAACCTTCCCAAGAAAAAAAAGGACAATTTGATTGTATTTTATTGTTGTGGAAAGTGATTAATGCTAGAACAAATAAACCAATCATAGTCGGACAAAGAACACGAAGAAGAAAAGTACAATCATTTGTTGCCATTAAACATTAGATTGATGTGAATAAACATTGTTATTGTCATCATATAAGCATTCCTCCGTCGACTCGGATGTCTGCCAATCTATTGAAGCATACGATTGCAGCTTTTCTACCGACAAAAATTGGGGGGAAGACCAAAAAGGCTTAGGAGGTATTTCCAAATCATCAATGCTTCTTTCTAACATCTCCACCACTTTGATCATTGAAGGACGGTCCGTTGCCTTCACTTGAATGCACCATAGCCCAACTATACATAACTTTCTTGCAATCTCTATTTCAATCTCACTCACATTCACAAACTCTAAATCCCCTCATTCTACTTCTAGATGATCATAAACCCATGATGGAAAGTAAACTTTGCTTGAGCTTTTTGCGTTTGCATCAACATTCTTTCTCCCTCCAGCCATTTCCAACAACAACATGCCAAAGCTGTATACATCTGATTTACTCGAGATCGCTCCAAAATTCCTTGAAATCAACTCAGGAGCCATGTACCCTAGTGTTCCTCTCGTGGTACTAATGGACATAGCATTATACTCCTTTGGGTAAAATTTTGCAAGCCCAAAATCTGCTACTTTTGGGACGAAATTTTGGTCTAAAAGGACATTGTGAGGCTTAATGTTGAAATCAAGAATGCATACATCATATCTGCAGTGTAGATACTCAATACCTCGAGCAGTTCCTAGAACGATTTTGAGGAGTTTCTCCCAAGCAAAGGGCTGAGCCTTTCCTTCCTTCAAGAAGATGTGTTTTTCAAGTGAACCATTAGGCATGTATTCATATACAAAAGCGCGATAAGACCCCTTTGAGAAAAATCCCAATAATTGTACCACATTGGCATGGTGAATCCTACCGATTGTCGAGACCTCGTTGATGAATTCTTGCGCGCTAAATTTGGTGTTTTTGAGCATTTTGACAGCAATCAAAAAGCCTCTTGAGAGATGCCATTTGTAAACAAATCCAAAACCGCCTTCCCCCAATTGATCCTTGAAATGGTTTGTCATTGCCATTAGATCATTGTAAGAGTACCTTTTGGGCATCAAAGATTGCTGATTCCGTAGAAAATTTTCCACTCTATCTATTGGCTTTCTTTATTTTCTAAACTTGTGGATGAGGAACACAATTACAACTAGTGGAGTGATGATAAATCTAGCTGTGGGTGTTATTTTTGAACACACAACCAAACAAGGAAACTCAGCAGGAGAGCACTGGCAGAATAGATTAAGCCCGAACAGCCTGTTACAGAAAGATAAAAATTCGACGGTGGTTCGTCCACCCGGGGGCACTCCGACGATTAAGTTAGTAATTATCTCTAAAAAATAGCCAATAGTGCTAAACTCACTAGGCAGAGCATAAAAACATACCTTAGACCTACGAGGGTGCCTTACTTTTATAGCCAGCACTAACCTGATCCCTGTAGATGCCTAGCTTCAACGAATTTTGGCTCAATGCTCATCTTGGACTCCCAGCTAGATAGAGATAAACTCCCTAAGAGCTTTATCTTTATCCAGATTGAGATCCTCCACTATTCTATGACTCTTGTCCTTTATCCGTTCATCCCGGATTTCGATATCTTCGCAGATAACCTTGGCCTAGCTGAGATTACCTCGGCTTCAGAACCAGGCCACGTGGTACCTCAGCTGACACTTCAGCGTCACCTTGGCCACGTGCTGTTATTACAAAATATGTCCCCATAATTGCCTCCTAAGTTCTATTACCTCAACAACCTGAGGTGATAGAACCTACATCACTAGTTTATTTACTACGTAGGTTGAAATTCATTCTTTCTTTCAATCGAGATCATGATTCGTCGGTTTCAAGTACCCAGTACTTAACTGTCCATTTTTATTAGGGATCAAGAACCAACAACCAAGTTCTTTAAGTATCTTAATTGAGATCATTCCTCTAGCCAAGGTTTTTACTTCATTAAATCAAGAACTCCAAGAGTTCAATCTGCTCATGAGTTGTCACGTACGGTTTTCCCAATCGTTTTTGCCACGCGTCCTTCTCTCATTAGTTCGTACCTGACACGCGACATCAGGTTGCGTCACTTTTGCGCATGCCACTTGACAAACACGTCGTCCAAGGCATTCCATTATGGTTTGTTACCCTTTCGAATTTTTAACAAAAATAATTTCTCTCTCGCTGTCTTTTCACTTTTATCCTCGCACTTTCCCTCAAAGTTTTCTCTGTCTACAAAATTTCTCTCAAACCGTCATTGTCGTACTTTTGGGCTTTCTGCGATCACCTGAGTACTGCTTCTGGCGAGCTCCGTACCGTTGGGTTCTAGTCAACATCGCCGTTTGACTCTGTCGAACTTTTTTCCAGCCTTATTCGGTAAGTCCATGATTTTTTTTCATGTAATTTTAGTCTCTCATTTTTTATTTTGTCCCAAGTTTGCCATCTGTGCATATTATTTGTTGCTAGTCTGTCTTTATCTCCATGTTTTGATCTTCGTGAATCATTTCTTGTTTCTTGAATCTGTCTAACATATCACAATTTGTTCCTGAATTCGAGAATGTGTGCACTTCTTCTGGTCTTTGCACACTTTACTTAGTGTTCTGGAAATTAATGACTTTCCTTATTCATGAATTGTGGCCGTTTTCTTGATTTCTAAATCATACTCTTTTTTTCTATTTTTCTTGTGGTATTTCCAGATTTTTGCCTTTAATTCCTGTTCATTTGCATAGATCATAGGTTTGGGATTTGCCTAGAAACCAAATACCTAGGAAGAATTAAAACAAACTTCCCTTAGATTATTCACCCAAAAAAAAAACTTCCTTTAGATCTGCAAAAACGCTAGCTCTAGTGCTTGTTTAGGGGTCAGTCGAGGTCTTCTAACCCATACCAACCATTCCTTGCTAAAATCTTGTACCAATCTTTACTAAGTCGACATCATGGGTATGTTCAAGTGAAGAGTGGATACCCCAAAAAAAATAGAGTATTTCCGTCGAGAGTTCTCTATCCTAGCCGATGTTCAACTCGGATTGGCTGGGGAGGAGGACTCCATCATGCCTGAAGGGGACTCCATGCCATTCCCAGTAGTTGCTTTCATAGAGTGTGGACTCTGGTTCCCTTTAGACACTCTTTTCCCAGAAATCCTTCATTATTATAAGCTCAACCTAGTGCAACTGGCCATAAACTCATATAGGGTTATCAATGGCATAATCGAACTAACACACCAAGAGAAAGCTAGGATCACTCTAGCCGATATCCAATTATGCTATACCATGTGTGGCCTTAAGTCTGAAAAAGGCTACATATACTACCTTAAGCCCAGATCCACCGCCTTCAAATTAATAGTCGACCTCCCAGACTTCAACAAGGGTACTGGAGATGATTACTTCATCGTCTCGGGTAATTAGGAGTTTTCACCTGATGACGACATCTATCTCTATTCTCTGAGCCGAACAGTCTTTAAAGAGGGTAATGGTAAGACTTAATCATTCGTACTGAAATTCCATTTTGGTTAAGGCTTGCTAGTTTATTAATCTCTGCTAATGTTTACTTTTTGTTTTCTGTAGTTCTTCCTTAGCCAACGAAGGGATTTCGGCAATCATTCGCTCCCAACCGAGATCTAAAGAAGCTCTTAAAAATCTCCCTGTGCAGAAATACAAGGCCCCTTCTTTACTGAACTACATACCAACATACAAGTCGGCCTTGCTCGACGTTCCACGCCGAAGTAAAACCCTTCCTTCTGCCATAACTCCACCAACAACTTCATCTCCAAGGCCAGATTAGGCTTCCACCTCTGACCCAGTTGAGCAACCATCTACTTCAGCCCCTCAATTAATTCCTCCATCCCAGCGCCAACACCAACACCGAGCTTTGATTTCTGCTCCTGTAGGCAGAACTCGTAGCCGCAAACGTCGAGATTTTGAGGCATCGGCTTACGACCTAGCCAATCCTCCAATCACTCTTCTAGCAATACACTTCGTGTCATGACCCAAGCCCTCCTCTATAGGTTTAGTGTCATAACCGGCCAGTAACCCTTGGATTACCAAAGGCCTCTGAACAGAATAACATATAAATAGGGGCTGTGGAAGCAAATACATAGATTATGCACAATCCATTGAGCTGTGAAGACATACATGAGACATGTAATCTTAAGCTTTATAACCAAAATACAGTATTTATATACCACTTCACGAATACACAACAGAAAGTTTGTTCGTAAAAGAAAAGAAATTAGGCCTTATACATCCACAAAAATATAGCCTCTAAACATGACTTAATCGGGAATCTCCTCGGGAGACACAAAGGCTGGCTGACCAAAATTGATATGCCAGGTCCTCAACTTTGAGCTTGGTCCCGTACCTGATCACCTATATACGTAATATAAATAATGAGCGGAAGCCTAGTGAAGAATAACAGAGTAAAGGGTTAAATGAATGATGTCCCATAACAAGATCAGTAAATAGACATGGATTCATATTCTTGATCGAATCATAACAGAAATCAAAATTCAAGCTTGATCATATATATTTTATCCGTTAGCGCTAATATATCATATATAGAATATCATAGTTCATGCTTGTCAGTTCCATAAAGAAACCTCTAGCCGGGTACAGATAACTTGTCAGTTCCTTAAACGAACCTCTGGACTGGGAATGGATGACTTGTCAGTTCCATAAAGGAATCTCCAACTGGGCGCAGATAACTTGTCAGTTCCATAAAGGAACCTCCGGATCGGGAATAGATAACATACTTGCGTCACAAATACTTATAAAAAATTAAAAAATCATTCATAGTATAAAACATAACAATTCATAAAACAGATCTTATTTCATATACAGAAAAAAATAATTTAACTTGAACATAGCTTTACTAAGTTATTACTCACAGATAATAGATGGCTCCAAGTAAATGAGCAGATATCTTGTGGAGTGTGTCCTATACAGATATAGAACGAATATGTACTGAATTACACGCCCGTAATCATTAACTTAGTTCTTCTTTGTCTTGGTGTGCTTATACTCCTGTTATCCTCATTATGGTGTCTTAATCTTGGCCTACGAATGCCTAGGATGCAATGAGGATATCGAAATGCATTGGAAAAACACTTGGTCAAATTTTTGAAAACAAGGTCCCCGCTCGAGCGTAGATTTCCCCACTCGAGCGTAGATTCCCCCGCTCGAGTGGACATGAAAACATATGAGGGGCCACTCGAGGGTAACTTTCTCCACTCGAGCGGTCTGCAAACTTTAAAAAAGTACTGGTTATGTGATTTTCACACTCGACAGACGCTTGACGGTCGCTTGAGCGTGAGACTCATATCCCCGCTCGAGCAGTCTGCAACATCATGGGACTTCTGGGGGCTTGTATTTCACGCTCGAGCATAATTTTTGTCGCTCAAGCAGAAGTGCAAAAACAAAGGTTCTTGCTCGAGCGTAGCATCCTCCTCTCGAGTGGAGAGGTCGAATTCTGGAATTTCCAGATTCACCTCTAAGCTCCCAAATTCAAATTCAATGCTGAAATTCATATTCCTTTGAACCAAAAACTTAAGGATACTCATGAAAACTTGGAAAACATAAAGTTTTGGAGATCATTTCACAGAATCAAGGTTTAAGAGCTTGCCAATTGACCAAAACAAACCTCAATTCTTTGAAAACATAACATGCATGTAATTATTGGCTTCAAGACGTCCAAAACATGATCATTTGGTATAACACAATCTAAAACAAGATGAATTTTCAAAACAAAGGTAGAATGGACACATGCAATGGCTAATTCTTTGAAATTTCAACTCAAATTATGATGAAAATGAACATGCCAGAACATGCAAGCATGGTGTGATCAATAGTTCTTCTTTCTAGCCTAATTCTCATGTTAATCCACTCAACCCTTTTGAATTCATGACATTACTAACTCAAAAGCAAGGCTAAAGGCTTGAATTCTCACCTTAACTTCTCAATTCTTTAAGATTTCGAGGTAACCTTGAGAAATTCTTAAATCTTCAAGCAATGTCTTTCTCTACCTCAAGTTTGATCTCAAGTTCTTGGTCTCTCCCCTCTTTCTCTCTTGTTTTTCCTTTTGGAGT